ATTAAGCATGTAGTGCAAAATGAATTACTAATGTATGTAAGTATATAAACTAGAAATAAAAATAAAATAAGGGATTAGACATATTTACAGAAGCAAAATATACATCTAAGTAATATAATACAGTAATTTGGCGTAATATAATGTAGATGTGCTGGAAACATCAGATCAGGGCAGGGTGAGTGTTTTCTCTTCTATGGTGACAGGCAGACACATATTGAGCAGCAAACACACAGCAGTTCTTCTGTTCTCCTAACAGATACGGCACTTTCTCCTGGTCTGAAAGAGTTTTAAATGTCTGATGGATTTTTAAATGTCTCTCTCTCTCTCTCTCTCTGTATATAAGTAACTCTCTCTCTCTCTCTCCCTCTGTATATGTCAGTCTGTATTACCGTGAGCCACAGCAGAGCTGTTCTTGGCAGCAATTTAAGTTTTGATCAAAATGATTTCTTTCACAAACAATCAGATTGGTTAAAATGTTTCATGTGCCTCAGAAAACCACTAACTATCCCATCAGTCCCTCTGTTTCTCTTTCACGTTGTCTTTTGTTCACTTTGTTTGCCTCTCCTTGTAATAGTGACCTCACGTTTTTCCATTTGCACATCTCAGTCGTTCTCGTTCTCTCTTTTGCATGTAGTTAGTTTTCGGCATCCTTCATCGCCTGCCTGTTCCCTGGACCCTAGACGGCGCAGATGTAGGACACTGATTTCTCTTGTTTTCCAGAACAAATATCTAAACATCCTTAAATCAAGATACATTTACTGCAGATGCACAATGAACATACAGAGTCTTGTTTTCTGAGAATTAGATCAAAATCAAGTGAGTTTTTGTTTAAAGACATCTGTCCATGGGGAATTGCAATCGGTTGGCAGATATTTGTTCTTTTAATCATAAACTCACTTCATTTTCATCATGATCCTTATAAAACAAGACTTCATATCTGATGTCATTTTGCTTCTCAAGTGAATGATCTTTAGACGTTTGCAAACAAGACAAAAATACTGCGGAAAAACATCAGTGTGATCAGAAGATACAGTAAGAGTTATTGCCATGCTCTAGAGTTTGTGATTAATGAAGAATTGTGTTTTCAAACACTGAAGTGTTAATAATTCAAGACATTTACATTTAGAGTATTGTGTTCCAATCCTTATTCCAGTCTATCAGAGCCGTTGCAGTCATGCACGACTCAAGCGAAACCCATCAAAGACATAAGAGCGCTCTAGCTCTAGTTCTATGGTGCATTGCTGGACTGAATTGAAAAATTTGGGTCCTCAAACAAAACCAACCATTGATGTTGAATCAGAATCCGAGATTTAAACAGACAAACTATGATGCATGTCAGTGCCGTATAATTCAGGAGAGAGTTATATCAAGCCGATTGGCAGCTGTTGGCATCAGGAGGGCCGGGGCCCCTGACAGGAGCCGTAATCACGCTCATTATGCTATGAAGCGTCTGACGCGATGATCACGCTTCGAGCGAGACGTTGGCAGCCTGACGCAGCCTCCGTAGCCCAATCTGTGTGTGTTTAGGCCGGTGAGCGTGAGCCTAGTGCTGCGCTCGAGAAAGCCGATCTGTAAATAGCAGCACATGTGTTCGAAAGCCACCCCGGCGTCCACATGGGCTCATCCAGTGTTTTATGACAATCATGCCTTAATAACAGAAAATGCCCCTAAAGTGGCGTGCGGGGAAATGTGCGGCGGTGGTTCTGATTATTCCAGATGAGGGCCTGTAACATGTCAAGACTAATTACCCGCTCCTGACAGAGCGAAGGCGATGGCTGCACACAATACAAAGCAAACAAAAGACCACGAGCACTCCGTCCTTGACCTCTTCAGTGCCTATTAGAGGCCGAGTCCGTTTGCGTATTTAACCCTCTGGTCCTCTTCGTTTAGGAGTCACACTTGCCTCCTTCGCGGTCAAAAGTGACCGAACCCTTGAAATGTAACTTTTTTTTTTTTCAGGAAAATGTAGTATATTTTTGTTCAATAATGTTTTTTTTATTATTATTTATGATTTTGAGAGAATTTTATGATACTATGCAATACTTATACAATTTTAATTAGCTATTTTCTCCATTAGAATTCATATATTTTTTATTTATTTACTTTTTTTAATAAATGCAATATTTCACATTAAAATAGAGTGAAGGCATTTAAAATCCATTTTTTGAAGTGAGAATTGGGCCATCTGGAGGCATTAAAAATAAAAACTTGTGTAATGCTGCGTAACCTCTTGTATTAGCGCCCTATATAGATATATACAAAGGCTTTTGGATTCTCATTGTTTTTTAGACATAATTTCTTCATTTTTTTTAGGTTTTGCATTTAGATATATATCTAGACATTCTAAAAGAATACTTTTTGTTAGGGTTTAGATATTTTTGGTTAGATAAGTATCAGGTTTTACATCATGATTACAGTCAAACATTAAAATCTTGTTAGAAAGGGAACACATAGAAAGCATTTTTGTTACTCAGTATTTGATAATTAAAAAATCTAACAAAATAAGGAATGGATAGTGATAATTCAAAACACTTTATACAAACATTTTGTAATTAATTGATATTTTATTCAATGTAATTCAATAAATGTTAATAAAACTTCAGAACAGAAATGAAAATTTTTTTGTATTTCATATTCATTTCCTATGTCGGTCATTTTTAACCGCGAAGAAGTCAAGTGTGACTCATTTTTTTTTGACCCTTTAACATATCCGAATCATGTCCATGATTTTAAAAATGTCAAAATATAAAATGTTTCTGTCAAAAATGACCGAAGAGGGCCAGAGGGTTAATGTGGCACAACACAAGCTGTTTGATTTCGTTTAGCACTCTGATATGTCTGTGATTCAGAGCTCAAGTCAGATCGAATCGGACCAGTTCAATAATGAAAGCTTATTAGGTTGTCATATACTGACTTGCTTTTTTTTTGCCTGACAGAAACGAAACGAAATGTTTTGGCAATCGTTAACATGCCCTGCTATTGAATAATGGCCAATATTCCTAATGAAAGCTGAGCAAAAGCAGACCGTGTGTTTAAATTGCCGATGGAGTCGAGTTGCAGGATTTTGTCAATCACTTTAAATGGATAACAGGACGGTTTGCTTGATAGCTGGTTTGATAAAATAGCCAATTGTGTTACATCATGTGTTCCCCAAATTACTTACAATATACGACACTCGTAATTTCCTCCTCCTCTTTTTTTTTTTAAAACTACTCCTGTTTCATAATGAGAGAGTTTGGCCAAGCCCACAGATTTGTCTGCGAAGGCTTGTGTACAATGGCGGTTCAGTTGACTTAATTAGCTAAGGAAGTATTTAAAGGCTTAATTGAGATTGCATTGGGAAATTGCTCTGAAATAGCCAGTGCGTTTTATTCTCACAGGCGGTTTAGCTCGAGCGAGATCTGACCTCTGATTGGAGGACGCAGAAACTCGGTCATCCTCCAATCTCAGCTAAACATGAGCTCGCATACTCTCACTATTTAGATTGCTGTCATGGACTCTACAGAACATCTCTATTCACTTTGCCAAAACTGCAGTCCATTCCTCTGTTAAATATGAACAGAATGTCCTATTACAGTGTGTTATTGCATTTAAGCATGTATGTTAAGTTATTAAAAATATATTCCTTTAAAAAAAATGTTCAGCCAATTTTGAAAAAAAAAATGTTTTTACTTTATTGGAATGGTACGAAACATGGTAAAGGTTTTGGCACTTGCTATGTGAACACACAAACACACACAAAATTAAATAATGGACGTGATTCGAAAAGGTCAATGGTCCTGAAAAAAATAGTCACACTTGTGTTGTTCTCTGTAAAAATGACCACATTAGAAACAAATGGGAAGCGAATTTCATCTAGTGGAAACGTTTGGTACTGCGTCCAAACAAAACCTCTCTGAAAGCTCCTTGTTTTTACCAAATGTGGAACACAACTTCTTTAGATTTATGCCTTTGACTTTCAAGCAGTTTTAGAGTGAAACATGTTTTGGAAAATATTTCGGTAATACTTTACTTCAAGCTTTTTCATATAAATTTATAATTATTAAAGTAGTTTTAATGCATGGATTATGCCTTGCAATGCACTTTATAATGTTTTGTAATATCTCATGAATAATTGTAGCCACAGTTATAATACATTATAATACTTATCTATTAGACTTTTAGAAATTATAATGCATTAAAACACATGACAAACAAACCTTCAAACATTATAATGCATTTTAACTTTTGTTATAATTATTTATGAAAATATCTAATGCATTACAACATATATTATAAATACCTTTATTAACACACTATACATAAGTTTTAAGTAAAGTGTTACCTATATTTTTCATATAAAACTTAAAAATAGTATTTCTGTGCATTTTTCACAACAATAAACTTAAACATCTATAAACCTATATCTTGCCTATATAACCTAACATCTATATCTTTTTTTTTTTTTCACTTCACTTCACTTTTTTTTTTTTTTTTCACTTCAGCAAAAATCTGCCAAGTGTCTTCTTTAAAAGAGACCAAACTTAAGCCTGTGCTCATTCAAGATTTATGTTTACAGTTTAAGTTGGAAATTTCATTTTCAGGTCTATGCTCAAAAAGGGGTTAACAGGTAATGAATAAATCATAACTAATCCATAAGAATACTTTAGTATTATAAAATATACCACTAAAAATACAAAATATTAATAAAAACAAACATTACCAAATAAAACATTTTTGACGAGCATGTGAGCAGCACCAGGCATTATTTCGGTGTTGATCAGCTAATAATCAAGGAGAACCTGTCTGGTGTAAAACTGTGGTGCTTAAACTGTGTGCTAGATGAGTGAATCCAGTGATCTTCCAGCGCTGCGTCTGTTTTCTTCTCCTCAGGCGTTCGGCTTCATGTGTCGAGTGGCTCTGCAAGCAGAGAAGATGAACCATCATCCGGAGTGGTTCAATGTTTATAACAAGGTAATAACTTCAAACCCAGCCACGTATTTCTCACTCTTGAGCAGCAGTTTATAATGTTTTTCCAAATGTTTAACATGAAACACTGTGTTTAAAGTACATGAGAGGCCACACACATCAGGCCTTTGAAAGTGTCACGTTAGCATAGCAAACAATCGCACTACGTAGTGCACTAGCTCACATTTCATGTCAGGCCGAGTGAGAAAAGTGGAGCGAGCGCTAGGAAATAATCCTGATGATCTGTAGTGGAAATTTTCTTTGTGAAATAAGCAGTAGTGGTTTTGTAAATCAGCTTACTGTGCGGTAGGCCGACAACAATTCTGTCTTTATTAAAGTGGCTGCAATACAGGACAAACTTGGGCTGTTCTCAATACTCTATACTATTGCAGTCCCCCAACACACAGATAGCGGACATCACTGTGTCATCAGCATAAAAATTAAAACTAGCATTCATAATGATAACGTCAACATGTTTAATAAAAAATAGAGGCCCCAAAACAGAGCCCTGAGGAACACCCCTAGTGATCTGTAAAGGTGTGGATGTATCGAAAGCTAGCTGTTGATCATGACTGAATTTCTGGCTGTCTTTCAGGTCCAGATCACTTTATCGACACATGACTGTGGAGGACTGTCAAAGAAGGACATTCGACTGGCCAAATTCATTGATAAGGTGGCTCTGTCCCTGTAGCAGCTCTTCCTTCTGGATTGTACATTCATTTTCAATATTTCAAATCTTTTGTATTGTATTCCCAAAAAGGGAAATAGGGAAATGTGTTAATTCACATAGGTGTGTGTTTAAAATCACTCTTCTTGATCCAATCTACATGATTATGGTAAATGCATATCAAACAGATGATGGAATACTGTGAGTGTGGATCCATGTCATATTCATTAAATATCTGATACAATTTCAAATCATTTGTTCAGGTGCATATTTACATATGAAAATATGTATAATGTTAATAGAATTCATCTTACTCAAAACTCATAAATATAGAAATAAATGTATGATAATTGCTTTGTGCAGTGGACTAGTAAACTTCCCCGAATGAAAAGAAATGCACAAAAATTTCTTCCTCAAACATTCTTTACGGATATAAGTATCAAAACAATGTCTTTATTGCACCGCATCAAAGCAGTCAGTACAGCACAGTCAAGAAAGTTTACTAAACTGTGGACTAGCTTTGACTCTTGCTGCTGATTTGAATGGCGATGCTCTCAAAACTGCACAATGAATCTCTTATTTACATCACGTCTGCACTTTCTTATGAGATGATTCGCAAGTGTGCAGAACTGCATTAAACAAAAACTCTGGCGTTTTCAGCAGTGAGTGAATTCTGACCAATGTAAACGCCTCTGATTGACCATTGCGTTCATGAAATCATCAGAAATGTCTTTGACTGGCTACATTGCTCAACACTGCAAAAACATGTTGTAAATTGTAACTTTTTTGATGTTCTCCAAATTTTGTCAGATCTTCAATTGCTTTTGCTTTCGTTTGAGGGTATTTAACATCCTCTAACACCCCTGTAGAACCAGGACAGGGCTTGGCTAATCGCTCCAAATTGCAGCGGGGCTGACATCAGGGATTCCAAGACTAACGATATGCCCCCCTTGCCCCCCCCCCATGTGTCCCCTGCTGGGCATGTGCTCAGAACAATATGGTTATATACTGATAACTACCAAAAATCAGCTTACTAAAATAACCCGTTTTACCAGTTTGCATGCAAATCAATAACCCGGCAATGCAAGAAAAACATTTTTACAATACTTTTTTTTTTTTTTTTAAATCAGGTTATTCGTCAGTAGTGACGTCATAAAGTAATTTGTATACCAAAGTCCATACATTTCATTTGTAATGAGAGCTGATGATAAAACCCCAGAGTACTCTGAAATGTCAGCAGGAAACTTGTACAGACTCATATTTTCCTTTCATTCCGTTTCTAAGCATGCAGCATGTTGACTGTGCCACACTTACTTAGGCTACACAAGATGACAACATCAACAATGATTTCTTGGGACAAGAAAGAGTCTGAATGTACAATATGTTTCCTTTAAAGCGCAATAAGGATGCCTTCCTATCATATTGACGTGCACCTCAGTGAGCTGACAGAACGCAGGTTAAGTTGAGCTCTGCTTTGTTGCATTACCAATGGCCAGTCTAATTAACTCACTCTTTACTGAAAACTACTGCACCAACACTTTACACAAACCTTGGATGTTGTGGAAAAACAGAGCTAGGTGGAGTTAGCAGTAGAAAACATCATCTTCAGGAATTGTAGTTTGGCATTCGCAAGAATAGTATTTCTTGCCCGCTACTAGAAGTCAAATGTTGTGGTGTTTGGGAACTAGCCAGAGCAATCAAATATCTGTGAATCAAGATAACAAGGTCAAAGCAACTCCTACATCATGTCCTTCCATTTGAATTAATTTTACTGGGTTAAATTTCAACCCCAATCGCATTGGTCTCTCTCTCTCTCCTGTCACCAGTAGACCTTTGTGATGAACAAACTGTTCCTTCTGTGGTCCAGGTCCTCCAATAACATACTGGCTTCGTCCTCAGAGCTGACCCAGAGCATCCACATATTTGCAGGGAGCACCGCACAGGTTATTGAGGGTTTGCCATGCCTCAGTCAAAAGAGATTTTTTTGAGAAACTCTGAAGAAAAGTTGATGTTTATCAGACTGGAAATGGTTTCAAAATAATTTCAAAAGAGTTTAGGATCCACCAATCTACCAGGCTGATTGTACAAATGGAAGAAATTCAACACCACTGTCCAGGCCAAAATATACCCCTTGGTTTTGAATGAAATCCAGCCAAAACGAAGGTGATTTTGAGTTTGTTTTGGTGGTTCGAAACCGCTTGTCAGGACAAACCTTCAGGAAAACTTTGACTGTTAAACACCACCTAATTGTCATTGGCAGATGATGACTCAATAGGCGGGTGTAACCTGGGGCTCCATCTATAGATGTTTTTTTTTACTTTTTCCAATTTTGACAAACTACACTGTCTACTGGCTTGGGAGAAAAAAAAATGTAAGAAACTGGGATTGAATGTCCGCTATTATTTTGCATTACAACCACACCTTACCATCCCCAGACTGATGGCTTGGCTGAATGTTTAAACCAAACCCTGAATAGCATGCTGTGCAAAGTTCTGACTGGCACCAGTGGCTATGTTACCTCAGGGATGGGCAGCTCTGGCACTCAATATCCACTTTCTTGCAGAGTTTAGCTCCAATTCTAAACAAACACCTAAACAAGATAATCAAGATCAGGATTCAGGGTTACTAGAAACCTACATGTAGGATTGCCTGTTAGAGCTAAACTCTGCAGGACAGTGGACTTCGAGGGCCAGAGTTGCCCACTCCTGCTTTACCTAGTGGTTGCTCACCAAAAGGTGAAAAGGCCTCCATGGGATTCTCTCAAGTTGCTTTGTTGTATGGTCAGCAGGTAAGAGGACCTCTGGACCTGCTAAAAGAACTGTTGGAGGGGCCTAAGAATGGTACATGCAGTGTGGTCCAAAAGACAGACCTTCTGGAAGAAATTACATCACTAGCCCAGGGGCCCAGCACTTTCAGGAAACCTGGTGTGATATGAGTGCCAGGGAGGGATCCTTAGTGCCAAGTTCTACTGTTGCTGACCACAAATGAAAGCAAGTTGTTTTGTTGGCATAGAACCTAAAGTATTGTGAATGACTGGCAGCATCACCTGCAAGATCTCCATGCTGGAGTGGGGTAAGAATGAGCAAAACTGCCATATTAACTTGCTGAAAGAAGTCCACCTCAGGGCCGAGCCAGTAAGTACACCACTCTTTGTGCTATTGGTAAGGAGGATAAACCAACAGAGCAGTACTTCCAAACTTGTTGATCACAACAAGTCCTGGATGTTTCCCATCTAGAGCAACCTCAAGGAGACCAGGCAAACAGTTGCTGGACATAGAGCTTATTAGGAGAAACCTAGATTTACTAACCTGGTGCTACATGAATTCATCCGTAGGGAGGTAACTCCAACCCTTCGAATGAGAGGTCCCTGAGAGACCTGATACTCTAGAACAAGGGTGTCAAACTCAATTCCTGGAGGGCCGGAGCCCTGCAGAGTTTAGATTCAACCCAAATTAAACACACCTGATCCAACTAATCAAGTCCTTCAGGCTTATTTGAAAACTACATGGTGTGTGTGTTGGAGCAGGATTGGGACTAAACTCTGAAGGGCTCTGGCCCTCTAGGAACTGAGTTTGACCCCCCTGCTCTAGAAGAAGTGTTTGGCCAATACATGGGCCCTGGATTCCCTCCATTTCTACCTTCTAGGGAGATCCTTTGTGCTAGAGACAGACCATTGAGTGACTCTACAGTACAGTGACTGGAATGCATGAAAGACTCCAATGCACAAATTACAGTCTCTCTCCCTTCAGGCCTACAAATTCACTGTGAAATATTATGTGAGATCAGTGAACAAGGTTGCAGACTTATTTTTGCAGATCCAGTATCCCAGATGTAGATATGGGGACATCTTTCTCAAATGTTGTTAGAGGGGCCGAAGTGTGATCCCAGTTGTCATCTGCAGATGGTTGGGTTTGCTCTCTGGTTCCCCAATTCCCCTTCATTTCAATACCATTATTTGCTTGATACAGACACAAAGTCATACATGAATTTAAAAATTCTTTATTTAACTTGATGTGGCAGTGAATTAGATGTTGGCTGGCACATTGGGGCTATAAACCGCTCCCATGGCAGACACCGTGGATGGACACACATATACAGCTAAACTTGTCTCAGACTGGCCACCTGAGGACCAAACCAGTAGACATTACCCATATTGCTTCAACACACTTGGTTTACTTGTGTTAAATGGCATACATACATACATGGCAGCAGACATTTTGCCTCTTAAAAAACCTGAAAGGAATTTTATCAATGTTCTTATACCCTTTCTGGAATAATGATAGAGGAGGACGCCAAGTATGGTGGGAAGGTGAGGAGTTGTTTGTTTGTTATGGTGCTAAAACTTAAGCAATTCTCTGTATACCTAAAATGATTATGATGGTTTATGGTACTTGGTATCATGGTATCATATCATATATTGTATGGTATCATGTTAATCTGTTTGTTTAATGTTAAAGAATATGATTACCTGTGAGTGTAAACTGTCAGATAATAGAGCTGCTAGTTAGTCTGTGACTAGCGTTCGGTAAGATAAGCAATTATTGAAGAGTGCTGTTACTGAAGAATTGCAGTCCCTGATTTGAGGTTGTTTTGTTTGTTTTTTTGTTTATTTCTGTAAATAATTTGAAAGTTTTTTTTATATATATATTGTGTTTATTTCCTTATTTTGGCACAATTGGTCATACTGTGCTGTCTTCTGGCTTAGGTTGGTAGTGTCCTCCATTCTTTAAGCTGGGGATTTCTAAATTGCATCTCCAGTTGATCCGACTCTTCCTCAGTGACACCTTAGCTTTATTCAGTTTCTTAAGAAGATTCCTTTGGTCAAGCTAGGAAGTGTAGCCTTCAGTTCCTGCTTTAACTCCTCCTGGAGAGATGCTAACACAGCCTTTATTCCCTGTTTTAGCCCATCTGTCATGTTAAAGCCTGCCACAGATCCAGTGGTCACCCCTGTCCTAGTGATCCTGTCCTCTTATTCCTGTTCCAGCCGAAAGGTCAAGGTCAGCACGGTCCAGTTACCCCTGCCGGTAGATGCTGTAACTAAACCCTCTGGCTGCAAAAGTCATCTTTCTCCATTGACAGCCAGTTTGGGCAAGCAGCACAGAAGCCTCAAATATGGAGGTGGAGTAATAACTTCTTTAGAGTTTGAATGGATGTCAAAACCTTTGAGTTGGCTTTTGACCCTTGACTGTTATGTAAGATATACTGTGCACTGCAGGGGGGTTCTGTTGAACATAAAAAGATATTTTGAAGAATGTGT